GGAGGGCTCCGGCTGAGCCCCCGGGACGGGCTCTGCCCCTGCAGGGATCTGCCTGCGCGGCCGCATGGAGCTCAGCGAGCGGCACACCGGCGGCCGGTGCTCCCCGTCGTGCGGCAGCCCGGAGCTCCTGGGAGCCTTCCTCAGCAGCGGCTGCATCCACATCTCGGCCTGTGCCACCAAGGCGTCGGGCTGGCCCCGCTGGCTGCGGCGCTGCGACACCTGCGAGTGCGACTGCCACGTGCCCTGCGGTGGGTGCCGGCGCTGGCACTGCCCGCCCGTGGCTCGCTGGGCTCGGGGGAGGCTGGCGCTGGGAGACGGGGGCTGCAAACAGCTCCAAATCTGCTCTCTGCTCTCCTCAGGTTCTTCCAGGTAGAGCTGTGGCCACCCAGGGCTGTGGCCACTGGCCCCATGAGGCTTCCACCCTGGGTCCTGCCTGCCTCCAGCAGTGTCTGCTCCTTCCATAAGCTCTGTGTGTCCCGAGGTGACATCTGAGGGATGTTCTGGACTCACTCTTGCAGGGCTGGCTCATCCCAGCCTCTCCAGGGCCGGGGATGCTCTGGGACTGGGATCTGGGAGTGTTTCCTGCAGCTGGACTTGGGGATGGTGCTGTCAGCACCCATTCCCTGGCTGCTTCCCAGAGGGGGCTCAGAGCCCCTTTTCGGGGGGAGGCAGCGCCTGTGCCTGTGCCCGGTGCTGAAGAGCTGTCCTTCAGTGCTGCAGGCTGTGATTTCTCCGTGTCAGGTAATTCCAGGCCCTGAGCTGGGAGGTGGAGCTGCCCTCTGAGCTCGCTGAGGCCAGCTGGAGTGTGGCATCTGCCTCCTGTCCCCACGGCAGGGACACGACAGCCTGGCCAGGGCTGCAGCAGCCACTGCTGAGGAATCCAGCTGCCCTGCAGCCTCCCTGTGCACAGTGGGCAAAGGTCTCATCTCCCAGGTGGAAAATCTTCCCTGCAGGCTGCTCCATGCACTGCTGCTGGTCCTGCTCCTTCCAGGGAGTCTGTGCTCCTGCCCTGAGAGCCCCTTTCTGCAGGGGCTTCTCCTCCAGCAGCTTGGGCCCACAAAGGGAGAGATTTGGCTCCAGCCAGGAGCAGTTTTGTGCTCCTTGAGGACATCTCTGGCTCCTTAGGAAGCAGCCAGGGAAGCAGTTTCATCCCCCAAGGGAAGGAGAGGGTGGGCTGGGGCATGTCTGATGGTACTGCTGAGGGTGCTGCAGGACCAGCCACGGGGCATTAAAAATATATTTGCAGGGAATCCCACGGGTTCTCCTGTCGTGCAAAGAGGTTCTGCTGCCTGCTCTGTCCCTGCAGCCCTGAACACAGGTGACAGAACCAGGACAGGCTCCCTGTGCCCCTGGCCTGAGCAAGTGAGCCACCACGGGGACACAGCTGTGGACAAGGCCACTTCAGGAAGGTCCCAGCTGGGGATTAGAGGGATGTGAATGTCCCTGTGGCACCGGGCTCCATCCCTGCTTCCTTCCCCTTGCAATGACTCCCCAGCAGCTGCTGGTTGCTTCGTGGCCACCAGCTTGGGCCCAGCTGAGCAGAAAGGGGTTCAGCATCCCTGAGGTCGTTCCCAGGCCCTCCCTCTGCCCCTGCAGGGAGGAAGGGCTGGGACCTGCTAACGGGGAGTGCCCCAGGGCTGGGAGGCAGCTGGGTACGGAGAGAACTGAGCGAGTCCCAGGTGCCTTTTGCTCCATGACTTAAACCTCCCTGAGGAGCTTGGCTCCATGGAAAACTCCTCGTGCCCTCCCCTGCTCTCCTCTGCCAGGCTCCTGCCCTGAGATCTGTCCCAGCCCTAAGCTGGCATGGGGTGGGGAAAGCTCTCCTTGGCTCAACAGATGGTTTTTTAATTAATACTCTTGCTGCTGCCACTCATTTCCATATGTCTCTGGTGTTTAAGTGCTGTGGTGGGTGAGAGGTGTGAGTAACAGCGAGGAGGGAGCCAGGCGTGCTGCCGGGGGGGTGCAGGGGGATCCAGGTCCTGCAGGATGAGCTGCCCCAGGGGGGGCGTGCTGGGGGTAAAACCCCAAAGGGACACCCCCCTGCCACAGCCCTTTGTCACCAGCTGTCACCCCGCCAAGCCCCCGCACGCCGTGCCTCTTTTGGGGTGTCTGCACAGGGTTTGTGCAGAGCTGAGCAGGGCAGGAGCAGCTTTGGGGTGCGTTGGGCTCGCTCGGGGGGGTTTGGGGTGAGCAGGGAGCTGTGGGGGCTGTCCCAGATGTGGATGGGAGCCGGCACCGGGGTGCAGGGGGGTGCGGAGGCAGGGCTGGCACACCCCGGGCGTGTGCCCAGGGATGCTCAGGGCCTGCTGGCAGGCAGCGAGAGGAAATAGGGCCGGTCCCTTTAAGAGGATTTTTCGCTGCCTGGCAGCGCTGCCCGCCCGGGCAGCCCATCCATCCATCCATCCATCCATCCATCCTGCCGCCCATCCTGCTCCCCGCCCCGGCAGCACCGGCCACGGGGCTGGCGGAGAGCGGCGCCCCCGAGCAGCCCGGCCCGGGGGGCTGCTGGCCACTGCGGGGCTTCTGCTAGCCACTGCGGGGCTTCTGCTAGCCACTGCGGGGCTTCTGCTAGCCACTGCGGGGCTGGGCCCGGAGCCCCCCGCCCGCCCTGCCACCCAGCCCCGCGGAGGGATGGGGAGGAGACCCGGGCCGGGCACTCGCGGGGGCAGCGCCCAGCCCGGCTCCCGCCGCTGAGCACCGCAACCGAGCCCAACCGAGCCGAACCGAGCCGAACCGAGCCGCCCCCCGCCCGGCCGGACCCCCGGGCATCGCCCCTTTGTCTGCGGAGGAGGCGAGGCGGAGGCGCTGCGGGAGCGGAGCCGCCGCCCCGCAGCCTGCCAGGTGAGGCTGCGGGAGGGCCGGGAGCCTCGCCGGGCCCAGGGGGGGCTGGGGATGGAGGGGCCGGCGGGGAGCAGGGATGAAGGAAGAGCATCCTCGGGCAAAGCCTCCCCGTCCCCACCCCGCGCCGCGGGGCCGGGCTAAGCCGCGGAGAGCCGCTTGCGGGATTTAGCGCTCCGCAAACGCCCAGCCGGAGGAGTCAAGGTGAGCCCGAGGGCGCTTGGAGCCCGCTGCCCCCCACCACCACCCCCGGAGCCCCTCTGCTGCGCCCCGCGGATGCCGGGAGGGGACCCGCGGGCGGGGAACCCCCCACCCCTCCTTCCCCGGGGCTGGGCTGGCTCCCTTCCAGCGCTGAGCGGGGTCTGCCTGCGGCCGGGGTGGGCTGGGTGGGATCTCCCGGAGCTGCCGGCGCCGTGGGAGCGCTGCAGCCGCAGGAGCCGCTGCCCGCAGCCCCGGGAATGTAGGTTAGCGAGGCGCTGGCACCGCAGGCTGGGAGGCGAGATGGGTGCAGGGCACAGCCCGAGCTCCGGCACGGCCCGAGCTCCTTTTGCCGCTGCCGGGGTGATCCCCGAGCCCCTCGCAGGCGCTGAGAGCCGGCGCTCCCCGCCCTGCTCGCTCAGCATCCCCGGCGCCGCAGAGCCGAGCCGAGCCGAACCGAGCCGGGACACGCGGGGCCCGGCCGCGCTGCAGCCGCTGGGCAGCACTGCGGGCAGGGCAGCGCTGGGGAAGGTCTGCCAGCGCCACGGCCCCGGCTCAGGGCTGGCCTGGCCTCCGAGGCTGTGCCCAAAGAGCCCGGAAGGTGAAAGGATGAGCCGGGCAGAGAAGGAATGGCAGCAGCAGGGCCCCCTCCCTGCTCTGGTAAGGCTCTCGCAGCAAGCCCGGGGGGACCCCGGCACTGTCTGAGGCTCTGATGCTCCCAGGACTGCCCTGCCCCAGGAGCACGGCGTGAAAGCAGCTGGAATCATCTGCTTGTTTAGGATTTCGTGCCTGTGTTCCCTAAGGCCAGGGCAGGGCTGGTTCCTGGAGAGTCCTTGGGGAGGCCCAGGGCAGGACATCAGCTCTCCCACCCCCCATCCTGGGCCCAGCGGCACAAACGGGGCTGGGGCAGGGACCCGCGGGGCTGGGGGAGCTGAGCAGCTCAGGCAGCAGAGCCGGCCCAGGCTGCAGGAGGGGCAGGAATTACTGACTGTGCAGCTGAACGAAATCCTGCTGTTCGTCGCCCTGGGCGCAGGCTCGGCTGGCTCCATCCTCCCGGCCAGATGTGGGTGCTGGCCCCAGCTGGGCGGAGGGGCCGGCGGGGCTGGAGCCAGCAGGAGAAGGAGAGACAGGAGCTGCTGTGGGCTGCTCCCTGCAGTGCCGGGGAGAGGGAGCCCGCTGCCAGGCGATGCCCGTGCGCTCCCCACAGAGCGGCGGGATGGCAGAGAAGGGCATGGATCCCGCCTGCGTCTCCATCGCCCTGGAGGACGCGGTGTGCCACGCCGGCCCTCCGGACGCCCCGCTGCTCACCACCCACTTGAAGAAGGTGGAGAACCACATCACGGAGGCGCAGAGGTTTTCCCACCTGCCGAAGCGCTCGGCTGTCAACATCGAGTTCATCGACCTGTCCTACTCCGTGCGGGAGGGATCCTGGTGGAGGAAGAGAGGTAGGAGCTGGCGGGTGGGGAAGGGCAGGGAGGGGAGGGGACCTGCAGGGCTCTCGCACCGCGTTCCCGTTCTGGTTCTGCGTGCCATCCATGACCTCACCCCGCTCCGTCCGAGCGCCAGGAGCTCTTTGTGGCTGCTTGTTTGTGCTGGGTGCCCGTGGGAGGGAGGAGGCAAGGCTCGTGTCCCGCAGCAGTTGAAATGCCAGGGGAAGGCAGAGCGCATTCCAGGGAAACCTGGACAGACACCCTGGGCCGGCCGGGAGGGGTGGGGTGGGATGGGATGGGATGGGATGGGATGGGATGGGATGGGATGGGATGGGATGGGATGGGATGGGATGGGNGGGATGGGATGGGATGGGATGGGATGGGATGGGATGGGATGGGATGAGATGGATTCCTCCAGCCCTGCTGTTTGGGGTACAATGGATGGGATGGATTCCTCCAGCCCTGCTGTTCGGGGTACAATGGATGGGATGGGTTCCCCAGCCCTGCTGTTCGGGGTACAATGGATGGGATGGGTTCCCCAGCCCTGCTGTTTGGGGTACAATGGATGGGATGGGTTCCCCAGCCCTGCTGTTTGGGGTACAATGGATGGGATGGGTTCCCCAGCCCTGCTGTTCGGGGTATGACAGCACTGTGGGGTGCAGCAGGAGACCCCAGGGGTGCCCCAGCTCAGAGCCTGGCAAGGAGAAGGTGTGGTTTGTGGGGGATTTCCTCTCCCTGTGCAGCCGAGGCCGTGGCCCCCTTCCCTGTGTGCGACTCTGGCCGAGAGCTCAGGGAGGGGAGAGGGGAGGCAGATGGCAGCTGGTGGGTGGTAGTCTGCTTTAATTAGCGCTCTCAGTTAATGGGATGCCAATCAGGCAGCCCGGTAAGATGGAGGGTGAGCTGATCTGCAGAAGCTGAAGGCAGGCGGGGACCGAGGTCACAGGGCTCGCTGAGGGGCTCTGCCAGCCAGGGATGCTGGATGGGGCTCTGCCCCTGTCCCCGGGCCGTGCAGCTCGGGAAAGCGAGGCGCTGGAACACGCTGGGAGCAGCCCTGACATCTGCCGGGATGGTGCCTCCCTGTTTGCCGGGATGATGCCTCCCAGTTTTGCCGGGATGATGCCTCCCAGTTTTGCCGGGATGATGCCTCCCTGTTTTTCTGGGATGATGCCTCCCTGTTTTTCTGGGATGCGGGATGATGCCTCCCAGTTTTGCCGGGATGATGCCTCCCTGTTTTTCTGGGATGATGCCTCCCTGTTTTTCTGGCATGATGCCTCCCTGTTTTGCCGGGATGATGCCTCCCTGTTTTTCTGGGATGATGCCTCCCTGTTTTTCTGGGATGATGCCTCCCTGTTATTCTGGGATGATGCCTCCCTGTTTTTCTGGCATGATGCCTCCCAATTTTGCCGGGATGATGCCTCCCTGTTTTTCTGGGATGATGCCTCCCTGTTTTTCTGGGATGCTGGGGAAGCATCCCAGAAGGATCCCTGGCCCAGCCGCGGGCGGACTGTGCCGTAGCACCCAGGAGGGAAGCGGCTGCTTGCCAGCGGCCAGTGCCCTGCAGGGAGGGACGGGGGAAGGCTGGGGCAGCCGGACCGGGGGGGAGCGAGCCGAGGGGTCGCGGGGTCCGTGGGATGGGGAAGGGAGGAGCGCTTCTCTGCCCCGTCCGGGCGGGTGGCGGCGGCTTTGGCCACAGCCCCCAGCCCCGGCGGTGGCTTTGGCCACAGCCCCCAGCCCCGGCCGGCCCCGCTGCGCCGAGCCGGAGGTTACCGGCAGTCAATGAACGGGAGTAACCGCTGCGCAAGCTGCAGTGGCTCCGACGTGAGCAGCATGCGCGGTGCGGAGCCGTGCGCGCTGCCGGGGGGGGCTGCCAGCCCTGCTGGCCCCCGGCCACCCTGAGCAGCCCCCTGGCCACCCCCCTGCCCGCGGGACCCCCTCCTGCCGCGGGGCTCCCGAGGGGCGCAGAGGAGGAGCGGGGGGTGGCGGTGCGGGTGACCTTCCCAGGGGATGGACGAGCTCAGGGCTACCCCAGCCAGGTGGGGCTGAGTGCTCTGGGCTTCCCCCAGCCTGCGTTTGTTGCCCTTGCCCCACAGCGGCTGTCCCCGTGGGGCACAGAGAGATCCATCAGAGGGATGCTCAGGCTGGGTCCGTGGGGTTTTCACCCCCCTATCCCATTGGTGTCCTGCCAGGGCTCCATTTCAGGGGCAGCTCCTGAGAGCCTGAGGCTGTGTTTGTTCCAAACTCCCGACACATCATGTTCCTTCTGCCAGAAAATGCTAATCAGCCGCGTTTAAAGCAGAGATAATTCCAGGTCTGATTAGCAGTGGCTGCTGCCGGGCGCCACAGCGTGAATGCCAATGAAGGCAACAGCCGGACTGGGAATTCTGCCTGCCCCCTGTGCCCTGCTCGGAGCTGGCCCTCCCCCCTGGCCTTAGGGATCAGCATCTGAAGACACGGCCAGGAGCAGTGCCACAGCCCGGTAATCCTCCTTAGCAGCAGGATTTCCCTGGTCCTTGCTGTGATCCAGGTCAGGAGCTTCTTCAGCACTGGGAATCAGTGGGATCAGCCAAGGAGCAGGGGCAGGGATCGTGCTGGAGGTGACAGCTGCAGTGGCCAGAGCCCTGGGGATGCTGATGGAGCACACACAGCCCCCGGATGGCGTGGCAGCCCCTGGGAAGCCAAACCCCTGCTGCTCTCTCCCTGCAGGGTACAAGACTCTCCTCAAATGCCTGTCAGGGAAATTCTGCCAGCGGGAGCTCATTGGCATCATGGGCCCCTCGGGAGCTGGGAAATCCACCCTGATGAACATCCTGGCTGGCTACAGGTGAGGCTGGGGGTGGCCAGCGGGGCTGGGGGCGCAGGGCTGTGCCAATCTCCCCCACGTCCCTGCTGCCTGCAGGGAGACTGGCATGAAGGGGCAGATCCTGGTGAACGGGCGGCCGCGGGACCTGCGCACCTTCCGCAAGATGTCCTGCTACATCATGCAGGATGACATGCTGCTGCCACACCTCACCGTGCTCGAGGCCATGATGGTGAGCTCTGGGGACATCCTCTGGGCTGTCTCCTTGTGGGCACTGAGCCCACATCAGGCGTTTCCAAGGGTTCTGGGATGTAGAAATAAAGCCCTGCTGTGCGTGCTCCCTTCATCCCGAGCAGACAGGGTGGGAGCATGGCACAGCCAGGTCTGTCCCCTGCCTCTGACGGGCGTGTCTCCCTGGTCCTCTCCCTGCAGGTCTCTGCTAACCTGAAGCTCAGCGAGAAGCAGGAGGTGAAGAAGGAGCTGGTAAGTGCAGAGGAGGCTGGGCCCAGACCCCCTCAGCTCTCCCCACGATGGGCACAAGGGGAGCAGGGGATGGCAAGGGTGAAGGGAGGCGGCAGGGCTGGGATGAAAGCCCGTGAGAACCCTCGGCTGTGTGACAGGTGAACGAGATCCTGACGGCCCTGGGGCTGCTGGAGTGCTCCTACACCCGCACCAGCTCCCTGTCGGGGGGCCAGCGCAAGCGCCTGGCCATCGCCCTGGAGCTGGTCAACAACCCGCCCGTCATGTTCTTCGATGAGCCCACCAGGTGAGCCACAGGGCTCCCAGCACTGCCTGCCCAGCTGGGCTGCCCCTGCTGCCGTGGCCAGCACCCTCTGGTGCCCACCTGAGCACGGGATGGGACTGTGCCCTGGGGCTGACGCTCTTCTGCATCGACCTGAGGGGTGGGTGCCCACAAGGGGAGGCAGGTGGGGGCATCTTTAGGATGTTCTTCTCCCCCTCTCAACTCTGCTCTTCTCTCTCTGCTGTCCCTGTCTCTCCACCCCGTCCTGCGTGGCCGCAGCGGTTTGGACAGTGCCTCCTGCTTCCAGGTGGTGTCCCTGATGCGCTCCCTGGCTCAGGGCGGGCGCACCATCATCTGCACCATCCACCAGCCCAGCGCCAAGCTCTTCGAGATGTTCGACAAGGTTTGGGCTGGGACAGGCTCCCTCTGGCCCCAGGAGCAGGAGAGAGGCCACGGGAGGGATGGGCTGCAGGCATCTGACCTGGGAGCTCGTGTGGCCGGGGTGTGGCAGGGGTGGCTGTGTCACCCTGGGGCAGGAGCGGGTGACAGTGCCCTGGCTGCCCTGCGCCTGCCACATTCTGCTTTTCTCGTGCAGCTCTACATCCTGAGCCAGGGCCAGTGCATCTTCAAGGGCGTCGTGACCAACCTCATCCCCTACCTGAAGGGCCTCGGCCTCCACTGCCCCACGTACCACAACCCCGCTGACTTCAGTGAGTGTCCCCACCCCAGCAGAGGGTGGCGAGCTCCAGACCCAGTGCCCGAGCCCTGGGGGCTGCCCAAGGGAGATGCCAGTGCCCTTCCTGTTCGGTGCTGGTTGTCTCAGCACCTCTCAGGGGTCCTGTCCTCCCCCACAGTCATCGAGGTGGCCTCAGGGGAGTACGGGGACCTCAACCCCGTCCTGTTCCGCGCTGTCCAGAACGGGATGTGCACCATGGCTGAGAAGAAGAGCAGCCCTGACAAGGCAGATTCCTCGTGCCCAACGTGTGGGACGGTGAGTGGGGCTGAGAGGAGCCCCCTGTGCCAGCGGGGACCCCGCAGCACGAGCCTGACCCGCGTCCCCCTGGCCTTGCAGGACGTGGATCACATCGAGAGCCACACATTTGCCACCAGCACCTCCACTCAGTTCTGCATCCTCTTCAAGAGAACCTTCATCTGCATCCTACGGGACACGGTGAGGCCGGGCCAGACCTCGGGCTTGGGGTTTTTTGGGGCTGGCAGCAGCAAAGAGCTCCATGGGCTGCCCGCTGCTCCCTTGGGATGTTTTTGGGGTGTGGTCCTGCCCTGCTGAGCCCCCCTGTGCCCACAGGTGCTGACCCACCTGCGGTTCATGTCCCACATCTGCATCGGGGTGCTCATCGGGCTGCTCTACCTGCACATCGGCAACGACGCGGGCAAGGTCTTCAACAACACCGGCTTCCTCTTCTTCTCCATGCTCTTCCTCATGTTCGCCGCCCTCATGCCCACCATCCTCACCTGTAAGGAGCTCCCTGCCCCAAAACCCCCTCGCTGCTCCCAGCTCTTGGGGTGCTCCAGCTGTGGGGCAGTGTGGGTGTGCCAGAGGGATCGGGCAAAATGGGGAAAATAAGAGAGAAGGGAAAAAAAATATTGAAGAACACGGGAAAACTTTCTGTTTGCCTGTATTGCAGTTTTGCCCTTTATTTGGCTATAATTTGGCTATTTGACCCTTGTTGGCTCAAAGCAGAATGCTGGAATTTTAATCTTTTATTTTTTTTAATCTGAGAAAATGTGTGTAAACCTGCTGCAAAGCCCCAAGCTGACTTTTCCACGTGGAAATTTCCCATATCAGTCACTGATTTTTTTTTTTCCCCAGTGGAGGTTTGGGCACCCTCTCATGATGCAGGCTGGGGGTTATCTGGTGCATCCCACCTGCCTGCACCAGGGAGAGGAGCGGGAGCACACCAGGGCAGGGAATTGCTGCTGCTCACTCCTTGTTTCCCTGCAGTCCCCCAGGAGATGACCGTATTCCTGAGGGAGCACTTGAACTACTGGTACAGCCTCAAAGCCTATTACCTGGCCAAGACCATGGCAGATGTGCCCTTCCAGGTGAGCTTCCCGTGGATTTGGTGACTGTGGCACCCTTGGCACAGCCCCGGAGCCCCAGGGAGGGGTCCCTCGTCCCCCAGGGAGCTCAGTGGGGTGGGGATGGCCATGGGGCCCTAGGGCAGGCACATTCTTCTCTCTCTCAGGATTTTTTCATAGAGGAGCACAGAGGAAAAAAGAGAAAATTTCTATTTCTGCTCCTTGTTTTTCCCACATGGAATGTGTGTGGAGAATTGTTTACCTGGGGTGATGCTTGGTTGGATTCTGGTGAGGATTGTTTGAGCCTGGTGGCCAATCCAACCCACCTGGGGCTGGGCTCTCAGAGAGGAGCACGAGTTGGGAGTGAGTTGGATATGGCAGTTAGAAAAAGTAGGTTTGTAGTTTTAATATCTCCTTTAAATAGTATATTGATTATTGTAGTGCAGTTATAATAAAGAAACCATTCAGCTTCTGAGCTGCAGTCAGACATCCTCCCTCCTTCCCGGCGGGTTCCCTGCGTTCGTGGTGGGCCCAGCAGGGTGGTGTTGGTGTCTCTGTCCCCTGCAGGTGATCTGCCCCATCGCCTACTGCAGCATCGTCTACTGGATGACGGGCCAGCCCCCCGAGGCCACGCGCTTCCTGCTCTTCTCCGCCCTGGCCACCGCCACGGCCCTGGTGGCCCAGTCCCTCGGGCTTCTCATCGGAGCTGCTTCCACTTCCCTGCAGGTCTGCCGGGGCTTTGCCTCCTCTCTGGAGAGCTGCAAGGGGCCCCGTGACCGTGTGGGGTGGGGCAGGGCCGTGACCCCCTCTGCTCCCCAGGTGGCCACCTTTGTGGGACCCGTCACTGCCATCCCCGTGCTGCTCTTCTCGGGCTTCTTCGTCAGCTTCAAGACCATCCCCACCTACCTGCAGTGGAGCTCCTACGTCTCCTACGTCAGGTGGGCCCCCAGCTCTGGCCACAGCTCGCTGTCCTGGGCTCCCCTGGACCCTGCTGACACTGGGGGTGTGCTCTGCCCTAGGTACGGCTTCGAGGGGGTCATCCTCACCATCTACGCCATGGAGCGCGAGGACCTGGAGTGCCTCGAGGAATTCTGCCCTTTCCAAAAGCCCATCAAGATCCTGCAGGAGCTGGACGTGGAGGAGGCCAAGCTCTACCTGGACTTCCTCATCCTGGGCATCTTCTTCGTCATCCTGCGGCTCCTGGCTTACCTGGTCCTCAGGTACAAGGTCAAATCTGAGAGATAAAGGGGCCGTGGGGCCCCGGTGCCGCTCCCGGGCCTGGCCTGCTGTGAGAGATGTTCTGCAGATGGACACGGTGCTCCTGCAGGTCCCGGACCGTGGCGGAGGCACTGGGAGGTGCCAGCCAGGCCTGGCTCAGTCGAGAAGGGTTTTGAGACATCTCGGAACTGTTTTAACCTTTCCACACACTCTTCATTGCAAAAACGTTTTGTACAGCCCCGGCATGTGCCGCTCTCCCCCCCGGGACTGGCGAGCCCCACGGAGCTTGGGTCCCCTCTTGTTGTCCCTGCCTGGCGCTGCCCTGGGGACACCAGGGACAGCCCAGCCCGGGTGGTTTGAGCCCAGCACGGCTGGGAGGATCCTCTCTGGGCTGGGGCTGGGCTGGGAGCAGAGAGCTGCAGAGTTGGAAGGGCAGCTCGTGGCCCCGTTCCTCGTCCTGGCCAGCAGCGTGTGAGTCAGTGCTGAGAAGAGCCCAAAGATGCCATAGGTGACATTGCACCAGGCTTTAGAGTTTCCTGCCACTGTAACCACAAGAGATTGCTTCATCCCCCTTTCCTTCCTGCACAAACCCTCCTTCTTTTTTTTCCCTTTTTTTCTTTATTTTCCCCCCTACCACAAACCCCACTGCATCCCAGTCTTCGTGGAGGGGTAGAGGAGGATGTGGGGCTCTGTCTCAGGCTCCTGCTGGGACATCATCCTCAGAGATGGGATCTTCACAGCAGGGTCTGTGGGAGCAGGACTGTGTTCTCAGACCTTAGGGAGTCTCACTTCAGTCCCTGTTGTCTCTGGGGTCTGAGACAAAAAGGTCTGAGCCAAATCTACCAACACGGAGAGGAGTGACTGGTCCCTTGCATGGAGCAAGGAGGATTTGGGTTCCCACAGCCTGCCCGTGCCAGGAGGCTGAAAACCAGGGCTGGGCTCAGCTGTGTCATCACTGGAGGCTCTGCTGCAGGAGGAGAGCTGGCCCTGAGCCCTTCCCTGCCACCTCTCCCCCCCAGCTCCACTGGGGCTGTCTCAGCAGGACAGGGCAGACGAGCCTCGCTCAGCACTGACTGTGCAAGGAAGGGACACCAAGGACACCTGGCCTGTCACAGTGCCACCCCCCCAGGGTGACACTGTGCAGAAGGGGGTCCCAGCAGTGCCTGAACTGGAAACCAGGTGAGATCCCAGGCTGGTTTAATGCAGCGGGTGACCCGGACACTGGGAAGGCCTTGGCACTTAGTGACTGGTACCAGAAGGTCCCTTGTGGCACGTGGTGGCTGCTCCAGAGTCCCACGCTTTGCAGAGAGAAGGCAACTCAGCACCTTGTGGCTCTCCAGAGGAACTGAGCTGAGCCCAGAGCTGGTGGGGCATCTGCTGCTGTGCTGGAACACAGCACCCAGCTTACCTGCACAGCACAGGCTCCGTGGGTGCGCTGGCACTGCGGGCACCGGGCTGCACGTGTCACCCACAGGCGTGGCAAACAACAGGGTTTTGGCAAGCCCTGGCTCAGGTCAGCCTGGGGATGCTGCTCCTGGCACTCTGAGCAGCCAGGGATTGCAGGGCAAATGCCAGATTCCAGCAGAACCCTGGAGACTGAGCTTTGGCTTGGCTGGCTTGGGTCGGGGCTGGCCTGACACTGATGCTGGGCACTCAGCAGAGCCCAGTCTCCCTGCCTGGAGGGCATCAAGGAATGTTTGGCCATGGGGCTCTCCTGCACCGAGGGTCTGGAAGCAGGACACACCCTGCTGCCCTTTCCACACTGAGCATCAGGGTTCTCCAGGGGCTGTTGTCTGAATTTTCACCGTCCCTCACAAAATTCCTGGATCTCCTTTCAGTGCCGTGCCCTGCAGTGGAGCTGTGCCAGCTGGAGGGCTGCAGTGCTGCCAACCACAGCCACAGGGGCACGGAGGAGTGGGGGACAATCCTTGTGCTCTGTCACGGGGTGCACGGATGGGCAGGGGGGATGTGGGGCTGTCACCCTTCTCCATCTCCCTGTCCCTGGAGCTGATGGCACTGATGCCCTGCTTCTGCCCTGCTCTTGGGCTGGGACTGGTCTGTGCTGGGCTGAGGCTTTTCCCTGGATGGATGCCGAGATGCAGGAGGTGTCAGTGGGGCAGCTGTGCACAGCTCCTGCTTCCCCCCTGGCATTTGGGGCTCTCGTGGTGGGTCCTGGGGGTGCTGCTGTGCCCAGCACTGTGTCCTGCACCCAGCACGCCTGGACAGCCCTGTGCCATCACAGTCAGGGCCACCAGCGCTCCCAGGAGGACCAGGACAAGATGGACTCGTGTGTGGAGCAAAGGGGCTACCAGCAGGCACCAGGGACTGCCACTGGCCGTGCCCCCCACACTTTGTTGACCAGGCTCTGCTGCTTGCAGAGAAACCTCGTGGAAAAGGCTTCCCCAGCTCGGAGCAACACTGCCAGGGCTCCCAGGTGGCTCCCACTGCTGGGATGGGGCAGCTGGCAGCACCCCCGGGATGCCCAGGAGGGCTCAGCACAGCCTCCTGTGCCCGTGCAGCATCCCAGTTGCCCAGGTGTGTGCCCACTGCGGGGCAGAGGGCCAGGACAAACCCCAGAGCTGCAGGACAGCTGTCCCCGAGCTGGGCAAGGGCTCTGGGCAGGGGGTGGCCAGGCAGGCTGCTCGTCCCCAGGGCAGCAGGACACGAGTGAATGTGCTGGTGTGAAGGGGCTGCTGAGTGAGGGAAGTGGCACAGGGCAAAGGCACCCTCGCTGCCAAGGTGTCCTTGCCCGCGCCTCAAGGACAGTCCCAGAGGTGGTGGAAGGTGCAGGGAAATGCGAGTTTGCACTGAGCCCCCAGGCTGGGCTGAGCACCCCAGGGATTGCTGCCTGGGTGGTTTTCTCTGCCCAGGCACGGCAGAGGGAGGGGGTGCAGCCATCCTGCTCCAGGGGGCCCTTAGGGAAGCAGCAAGGATGCACTTTACCAGAGCAGGGAAGCAGAGCCGTGGGTGCTCCTGGCTGCAGGAATGCCAGGAGAGAACCCGTCTGGATAATCAGGAGTGTGATGGAGGAGAGCAGGCTTCTTCCCCCACACCTCCTCTCCTGCCCCTGCCTTTGAGCGATGCACTTTGAGTGGATGAGGGTGGGGGTGCAAAGTGTGGCTCTGGTGATGTTCCCCTCCTCACACAACCCCCTGAATATCAGCTAGCCCAGAGATTCGAGGCTGTGAGGGGAGGAATATCAGGAGATGGCAAAGATTTCCAAAAGAGGCTCTTACCCCAGATATGTTGGTTCAGCTCTCTTTATTCTGTGGTGTCCAAGGGGAGAGAGGGGCAAAAGAGCAGAACAGGAATTGTCAGGGGTCTGTACAGACTTTGGACAGGGTGGGCTTCCCTGGCTCTCCCGTTGGGGCAGGAAGGAGGGTCCAGGGTTATCTGAGCAGAGCCACAGGGTCCCGGGAAGGGGCACAGAGTGCCCAGGAGCTCACTGTAACACTCTGGCTCCCTGGGAACATCAGCTGAGCCACCAAAAGCTGCTTCAGCCCCTTTGGCTGTGTCAGGTTCTGCCTCTCACGGGTGCTGTGATGGCAGGCAGGCAGGCAGGGGCATGGCCACTCACCTCCATGCATGTCCAGGCCACTTTTGTCACACGCACAAGAAGAGCAAATGCTTCATCACCTGGCTGGGGTTTGCTGGAGGGCAGACTGGGCTAGAGCAGGGAGGGGATGGGGCTTCTCCCAGGGTTTCACCCCTCTCCCAAATCAGGCAATAAAACAGTGTTTCCTTCTCACTGTGTGTGGGCAGCATTTGTCCTGTCCCTGTGCCACGGGCTCTGTGTGTGTCCCTGCCACACTGCACCCTGTGCTTTCCTCCCAGCTTTGCCATGTCAGCACAGCAGGCTGGGCAGCGGGGGCACACGTCAGCCAGGGGGGCACCTGGCAGAGAGAATTGAAACTCAGACCAGAGGTGTGAGCTGCTTTCTCCCCGGCACAGCTTGCCAAAACAAGGCACAGGTAACAGCTGGAAGGCCGAGGGAGACTGCTGGCACAGCTCTGTTGTGGCAGCTGCTCTGGGTGGCGTTTGCCCAGGTCTTTCTTACCTTGCTGGGAGGAGGCTGTGAAGCAGGACCAGGGCACTGCTGCCCACAGCTGCAGCCTGGCAGGAACCAGGCAGGGTGGAGGTGAGGCCCGGGGCTCTCCAGGCTGGGCTGCACATGCAGGTAAGTGCCCCGCAGGGTCGGGGTGCCAGGTGCCAGCTTGCTGCTCAGCAGAGGGTCCCGGGAGGCGTCGGGCAGGAGGAGATGTTGCGGTTCGTGTCGGTGTTTCCGAGATGCCAGCTGTACTTGTTGGGTTTCACACATCAATAAAACTTATATTTATAGTGTACTGCCTGGATGTCTGCCTCTCCTGAGAGCCTCGAGGGCACACGTGTGATGGGGGGTGGTGAATTTGGGGTGCAAATACGCAGGTGTGGCCCCCTCAGCCCCAGCACCCCTGGGTGGGCTGGCACCTCTCAGGGCAGCACCCAGGTGTCGGAATCTGAGGTATTGATGATTCTGAGATTGTAGAAAGTCTCTGTCTGTCAGCCCCTGCCAAAGCAGAAGCCATCATTGGTCTGTGGTGGTTTCCAGGTTGTTTATTCTGTTTATCTCTCACATGTTCTGCTGCCCTGCCCAGCTCTGTCCTTCAGGGCAGCGTGTGGGGCTCTGCCCTCAGTGGGATGTGACAAACATTAAATACCAGAAACTCCCTGGGCTGCATTTACAAGAACGTGCCAATATCTGTCACCTACGTTGGACAGTGTGTCCCCAGCCTGAACCAACAGAAAAATGCCAACACCACAGTGAGACATGGAGGGCATGAAGAAGGAGAAAAAGGACAAGACACACCCAATTGTGTAGGGACCACTGAGCTCCAGGATGGTTTGGGTGGATGGAGACGAGAGATCTCTGAAGCTGCTCTCAGAATATCAGGTTTATTAGGGATGGTGAAAGGTCTTGCTTGGAGCTGCCAGAGCAGCACGGGGCAAGGCCTGAGGGGATGGGGAGGGGAGAGACAAGGGGCAGAGAGGATGCTCCAGGATAGGGTGGGAGTTCTAAGAGGGGGGAAGATCCAAGAGGGGGGAAATTCCAAGGGGGCGTCTGGCCCCTCAGAGACCCCTTATCAGGGGGCTTCAAGGTGGGCTGGAACAAGACTTGGGCCAATGGAGTCACAGACACCTGATGCTTCAGGGGAGGGTTACAGGTGTGGGATGAACTTTACATTTTGGGGGTTGAGATCGAACAATCCATTTGACTTTTGGACCCATCTGTAGGTAAGGGCGTTGTCCAGCCAGCAGGGAGGATTGTTTTCATCCTGGCTGTACTATTGTAAATCTTCTGCCAGGCACTCATATTTATCCATCCTTCCCAACAGAGGACAGCACATCTGGCGCAGCACATCTGGCGAGAGCGGAGGGAAGCCGGGGCAGCCGCGGGCGTCTCTGCCGGCTCCAGCCGCTCTCCGTGCGGCTCGGGGGAGCTGGCAGCCGCCGGGCACGGGGCGGGACGGGACAGGGTGGCGTTGCAGGGTGGCGTTGCATTGCAGGATGGCGTTGCAGGAAGTTCTGCCAGCGAAGCAGCCGCCTCCGCAGCGGGGCCGGCCCCGGCAGCTCCGGGCGGCGCTCCGCCAGCCCGGCCGCTGGAGCGCTCGGCGATCCCGGCTGGAATCCTGCCGGACGAGGTAACCCCGCCGCCAGCCCCGGCTGTGCCATGCCGCGGGAGGGCACGGGGAGGAGGGCACGGGGAGGAGGGCACGGCTGCCACCACTGCCAGGGGGTCCCAGAGGGGTCCCCGGGAGCGTCCGCAGGGCCCTCGGCTCAGCAGAAGGGCTGGGAAGGGGCTGGGAACGCGGCGTGGGTTTGCTCGCTGCAGAGGCACCGAGCTCGGGACACCTGTGTTCAAGGTCAGCTCCTCTGCCCCCGGCCCTGAGCCTAAATTTCTCCACCTGGATCACGCATAAAGGGACTGTAAACAGCGTGGCTTGTAGGAGGTGTGAGCGAGCGGTCTGTCTGTCTGTCTGTCTGTCTGTCTGTCTGTCTGTCTGTCTGTCTGTCTGTCTGTCTGTCTCTCAGTCACTCTGCTCGTCCCTTCCTCTCGGCTGGGCTTTGCTTATCTCTTTCGCCGTGTGCCTCAGTGTCACAGTGAGCTCCTGGGCACTCTGTGCCCCCTTCCCCGGGACCCTGTGGCTCTGATCTGATAACCCTGGACCCTCCTTCCTGCCCCAACGGGAGAGCCAGGGAAGCCCACCCTGTCCAAAGTCTGTACAGACCCCTGACAATTCCTGTTCTCTTTTGCCCCTCTCTCCACATGGACATCACAGAATAAAGAGAGCTGAACCAACGTATTTCGGGGTAAGAGCCTCTTTTGGAAATCTTTGCCGTCTCCTGATATTCCTCCCCTCACAGCCTCGGACCTCTGAGCTAGCCTAGGATATTTTGGGGGCTGTGCAGTGGGGGGACATCACCTCAGTTTCCCAGGATGTCGGGGACTGTGAGCACCGCCCGGGCTCCTGAAGGATCGCCCTGCTGAGCGCTGCTGGGGCGGGAGCCTGAGTCAGCGCCAGCGCAGCCGGTTCTGCCGGACTGGACCACGCTGGGGCGGGTAAGGCTGGGCAGGGCTCTGCTGCACCACATCCCGCAGCCCCCGTGCTCTGCCGAGCGCCGCGGAGCCCCTCTGCCACCTCCCCCGTCTTTCAGGTGGACGATGTCCCGGGCCGTGCAGTGCCAGAGCTGCCTGCCCTGGGGCAGCTGGGCACAGCTGCCTCGGAGCCGGGCAGGGCGCAGGGGGACCCGCAGCGTGTCCGTGTGTGCCGCTGCCGTGCCAGGTGAGCTGGGCTCTGC